GCTGCAGACATAGAAGCGGAACCCTCTGCAGACGCATAACCTTCTATAAATATTGCCTTTTCTTTATTTTGTGTTTCTCAACCCTAAACCTGTGAGAACGTTCAGATAGTTTCATTGTTGTGTGTCTTGTGATATAATGAGGAATCCATAAATGCAGGGGTTCATGGGGAACTCTGATGCTGGCTGACTGCTTCTATGTATCTGTGTCCTCTCAGCTACCTGCCCTGGTTTGAGGTTTTCTACAAGCTGCTGAACATCCTGGCTGACTGCTCAGTCAAAGGCCAGGTGAGCCGTAACTCCTTCCACCCTCTGCACCTTACATCTGCTCCTTTTTTAATTCTACAAACTAGTAGGAAAGCATGCGTGAACATTTGGGACAAATCAGAATCTGTTATTAATATTTCTGTAACGGCCAAGCACCATAAATAATGTTTTTTATTCTGCCGAATAATTATTCCACCTACTGTAGGTTTTAGTTTTTTACATATTCATCTGGACTGAAAATGAGGAGAGTTTTATTGCTGATTGAAGTAAACTAATGAGCAATAAAAGAACTCATTGTTATAAAAGATGTTCTTCTGTTCTTTTCTAACCAATACTAGGTGACCATCATTGAATCATTGAGCTACTTAGATTGTTTGAATTTCTGATCTACCAATGTTCTCCTGATGGATCTCTGTATCTGAGGGACATTTTTAGTTTCTTCATAGCGGACGTGGCTAACTGGTTTTTGTTAGCATTAGCTAGCATTAGCTATAGCTTGTGCAATGATTGATCTTTATGCAGAGGTTTTTCTCTCAGCACCACATGGGTTTATATTGTTGTAATATTACAGGACAGCCAGTGGCAGGAGCTGCTGGTCTCACTACATACGCTCCCCATCCCTGAGCCTGGAGTCCCCGTCCACCTGGGCGAGGTAAGCCTGACCTCATCCTGACACTCGCATCATGGCTGCTGCTCCTTCAGGGCACCAAAAAGAACCTTTATGTTCCTTTAAGCCCCAGATTCTTCTGGTTTGGTCCTAAAATGATTTTTTAACTTGGCCTTTGGAGCGGCTTAGCCACAGACTGAGAACCAGCGAGGAGGAGAGGAGGTGCACCTTCACCTCCTCTAAATGACACGCTGATCAACCAGGCTGACCTTCCTTAGATACATCCAATACATTACTTAGAATTATATAGATTGACTTGATGAGATGTAGATAAAAGCAGATTTTTTAAAAATAGTTTTATGGAGAGAAGCAAATAATTTGGTAGGTTTTAATTTTAATCCAGTTTTGAAAGGTGGTATGAATAATTTTGGACTTCCCTGCTTCATTCAGTAACCATGTGATCAATTTCTTTTTCCCAGCATTCCTTCTTCACTGTGCCTGACATCACGGAGCTCCCTAGCATCCCTGAGAATGTGAGTGTTGCCGTTGCGAGTCGCCCCGAGTTGCTCAGAGTTGCCCCGAGTCGCGCAGAGGGTTGCCCAGAGTTGCCCCGAGTCGCTCAGAGTTGCCCCGAGTCGCGCAGAGGGTTGCCCAGAGTTGCCCCGAGTCGCTCAGAGTTGCCCCGAGTCGCCCCAAGCCACTCAGAGCTGCACTGAGTTGCTTGGAGTCGTCCAGGGCCGCTCCAAGTCGCCCGGAGTCACCCAGTTAACAGTCTTACAGTCACCATGAGCGGCCCGAGTCAGGGAGGGATTCAGGAACTGGAGATGTTGACAGCATCGGTAACGAGTCATGGAGGAGCTCCTCCGGTTTCCTCCCAAAGTCTACAAACATCAACATGTTGGATTTCCGGCGGACATTTTGAGGCGGCGTCCCTCTGCATCCCGTCGGTTCTGTAACTCCAGGACCAAACGCGCTGTCCTTCCACCTGCAGCGCGGCTCGGGGCTCCTCTTGGCGTTTGATTTCATGTGATATTATTTCCCACCAGCCGTCCTGATAATGAATCTCTCTATGTTTTCCCTCTGCAGAGAAACCTAACAGAGTACTTTGTAGCAGTAGATGTGAATAACATGCTTCACCTGTACGCTAGTATGCTTTATGAACGTCGAATCCTCATCTGCTGTAGCAAGCTGAGCACTGTAAGTAGTACTTCCTGTTTCCTCTCTTCTTCCTGCTCGGTCCAGACTGATAGATTTCAGCTTTTTTCCTTCATTTGGTTTGATTTGCTACAAAGCAAAGCCAGCTTAGTTTTCCTGCTGGATGAAAGGCAGTTTGACCCCCAGCAGCTCTCTGCAGGCTCTGGGTTCCATTAGATGACTGGAAGCTGAGCTCCTGCATGTCCAGAAAAGGCCTGAGTTTATTACCTCTGTGGTGCTTCCTGTGGGCTCCACTCTCAGACCGTCTGTCCTGCTGACAGCGGCAGACAGCAGGGAGGGCAGCGTGTTCACAGAGTGGCTGAAAATCTGAGCTGCTAATTAATGAACATGATGGACTTTTACTAATTAGATCAACGTTACTGACGAGCTGCTAATTAGCTGTTCAGGAAGTCACCGATCTACGGGGGGGTTAGAGCCAGTGATTAACCCGTCCTTATTCCTCTGATTCTAGCTGCTGTGTTGAATGAGGGCAGGAAATGACATCATCACCTGCTCTGCTCTCTGTTGCAGCTGACCGCCTGTGTGCATGGTTCTGCTGCCTTGTTGTACCCGATGCACTGGCAGCATGTTTACATTCCTGTGCTTCCTCAGCATCTGTTGGACTACTGCTGGTGAGTTAGTCACCTCCTCATCAGAGCGCCGGACAGAAAGCTGCGCCCACATATAGACACGGCCGCCATTTTTACTGCTCTCCATTTACACCGCTAACATCTGCATCTGGATCTAAATCAGCAAATTAATGAAAATATGATTTTATCCTGATTAGTTTAGATTTCTTTGTAATTCACAGGCCTGTGGTCAGTATGATCAGCAGATGGTTATATCAGAAACAGGAAAAATAATAGATCACCTGATTAATAAAGAATCAGACGAAGCTATGGATCAATGTGACTGAGCTGCAATCATTTAGTCTGGGCTTCCTTTCAGCCCTAATCTGGATATTTCTAATCATTTCATGCTAAATCAGTGCAATGATGCACTTTAAATGAAAAACATGAGGTTTCCTCCCAGATCCAGGTCCGGTAGGTAAACTGAGCTAAAAGATGAAGAACCAGAGACTGACAGCAAGCGTGGGAACAAATACATCAAAATCTATTTCCAAATTAAAACAAAAAAACAAAAACCCACTTTATTAATGTATAAAAATTACATACTACAAAATACTTTATTCTAAGAGCTTTTTTCTTCTATCCCTTCACACACACTATCTGGAAAAACATGAAAGTAACAAAACAATAAAAGTACTTTCAGTTAATGAGAATTTCACTGATTAAAATATTACCTAAATTGTGTTGGTAACACCTTACATTACTGCATTACTGTAGCCTAATTAAATTACTTTTTTCCTCCAATCACTGATATTATGTCGGCTGCATACAGTCAACAGTAGAACATAATTTAGATACATTTCTAAGAAAATAAAATTACAACTTAAATTAAGTAGAGTAAATAAAAGTTAATTAAAAGGGCCAACACTATTATGAGCCGAAACTATCCTACTAAAAGTAGCGGCGAAGGTCACCTGTGGTGCTGCAGCAGCACATATATTGCAGGGCTGCCAACCTTTCATCAAACCTTGGAGTGAGATGTTTAAATATTTTGGACAGGAAACTGTCAGGGTTCGATGGAACGGCTATGAGAACACCAGCTGCTATAGGTGGGAGGTTTTCAGAGGATTTCACTGAAACTAAAAGGCAAAATACAGATTTTTTATAGCACAATAAATGCAGCTGATTAACAATGAGTGATCTGTAGTTCATTTTTCACACAATATTTATTTTCTATATTCTGGTGATTATTAGAGAACTGAAGTAAAGAAGAATGGGCCCTACTAAAATACTTGCATCTTAATTATACTGTAAACTAAGAATTACTAAGTTGGTTTATTTAATATTCTAGGCAGTTCAAATAAAATAAACAATGGGGAAAATGATAAGTTAGTATATACTATAATTACTGGATTACTGGCACTAAAACAGGAACCAGTTCAACCGAATCCTGTGCAAACTGCACTGTGTGTGAATATTTGGTAATAAGCAAAGTATTCAAAATCTTAACTCATTATCTAATAGTTATTTTTTTTGCAGCTGAGAAAACAGATTTATGATTCTATGGCTGCAACTAATGGTTATTTAGCAAATAGATTAATCTGTTGATTATTTTTTCCATTAATCGATTAATTATCGGAGAGCCAAAGCTTCCTTAAAGAAGATTCTTTTACTAATTTAAACCAGGCGAAGCTAAAACGTTTCCACCTCAGGAGTTCTGGAGAGAGCACATTAACAGATGAAAAAGATTTTTTATTTCAAATGTAAAATATTTACATATTATTTGTTTTGCAATTTTAGTATAATTCCTGCTTGAAGCTAGTTAAACATGTTTTTTATTATATATACACACAAAAAGTATACATGCGTATATTCACAATTATATAAAAAATATATACGTCTCCATGCACACCTCTAAATGAACATATACATGCCCATACAAACACATCAGTCCAAAATCCACATTTCCATCCCTTGTTATTAGATGAACTAATAGTTAATGGAAAAAGGAAATTAAAAAATGGTTAAATTAAAAAATAGATTAATGAAAAATGGGTAAATAAATAAAGGGATAAATGAAAAATGGACAAATGAAAAATAGATAAATGAAAAATAGATAAAACAGAAATTGAGGAATAGATAATCTGAAAAATAAATAAATAAAAAAATTGGCTTAATGAAAAAGGGAAATTGAAAAGTGGTTAAATGAAAAT